AAAAAAAAAAAAAAAAAAAAAGAGATAGAATTTAAAAACTTTGATAATCTTAGATTTAAACTTGAAGCTACACTTCCAACGATTCAATAGCATATTTATATTTTTGCCAGCTCCTACAGATCAGGGGTCCTGCCTATATTTATAAAGAGAGTAGAGATAACTGCATAATACGGTCAGAATTAAACTTAGGACATTTGAAATAAATCTTAAATCTGTCTGTATCAGGATTTGTAAATCGAATAGAGAGCTTAAACGGGGCCAAGGGTAAGATTTTTTGTTTTTTCTCTGTTTGATTTAAATTTCATAAAAACCCAGAAAATAATAGAATCTGACCTACAGCTTCAAGGCCACACTCAAGGATCCAGAAGGCCAGAGGTTGCCCCCCTTGGGGTAGAGTACGGGAGACTGGAGAGGAAGCTGGATAACACGTTCTAGGACTTTGTGTGAAGCTCTTTTGGAGATTCCCCTGTTCTCTCATGCAGTTGTATGTGCACAGGGGATGTGTGAGGTGTGTGAAAGAGCGTGAGAGAAATACAAGGATAAGGAGAGACTGAGACAAAAGTACAAGTTAAAACTGATTGTAAGATTTACGTTTGGTGAGGAGGACTGGAGGGAAAGTGGAGTCTGGTGTGCTATGGCGTGCCCACTGTCTAGTCCCGGCTGCCATGTCCCTTCAGATCTGCCTGTAGTACCTACTATCCGGGTAGCTGGCTGCAGAGGGAAGGCAGGAGGCTGGAGGATCCTGCCCTCTAAGATTGTTGTCAGGATAACACAGGTATCGCATGGAGCAAATGGCAGGCATTATTCTTGGTATTCTTGTCAAGTGTCAGAAAACAGACATGAGCCCCTGCTCTGGAATCTAGGCCGTGAACAGGAGCCTGCCTGCGAGTGATCCCACTGCCTAGTCTGTGTTTTTCAACCATTTTAATCTCATTGCACACTTGAACCTATTGTTAAACTTCCATGCCACACGTAAATTATGTTGATCAAAAAAAAAAAAGAAAAAAGAGTGAAGAAAAAGAATATACTGGCTCAGCCCCTGTGGCTCAAGCGGCCGAGGGGCCAGCCACATAAACCTGAGCTGGCAGGTTCAAATCCAGCCCAGGCCCACCAAACAACAATGATGGCTGCAACCAAAAAAATAGCTGGGTGTTGTGGCGGGTGCCTGTGGTCCCAGCTACTTGGGAGGCTGAGGCAAGAGAATTGCTTAAGTCCCAGGAGTTGGAGGTTGCTGTGAGCTGTAATGCCACAGCACTCTATCCAGGGGGATAGCTTGAGGCTCTGTTTTTAAAAAAAAAAGAAAAAAGAATATACTGGCAGCTTTGGGCTTCTTTTTGAAAGTAATTTAATTAATAATCTTTAAAAATTTGGGGGACACACCTAAGATCCTCTCACTGGCCTAGGCGCTACTTTCTGTGGGGTTTCTTGCGATAACTCCAGTTGGATTCTGACCAGCGTCAGTCTGGCTCTGACTCTCCCTTCCCTGTTTGGGTTTGTCTCACCTGTGGAGCAAGTGACTTCATAGCACATGACTGCTGCCTTCCTGATAGCAGAATCTTCAGTGAACACTTAGGGTTTGAACTGTATTTACTTCTATGATCATAATTGAATTTATGAAGAGTAATGAAAGTGAAGAAACTTAGGATATGGAGCCCTTTGTCAAACAGAAAGCTTTCAGATTACCAGCGGAAAGTAGACATGCAAAGCTGGTTCTCTTCCAAGGACCTCCCTTTGCTTGTACAGTCTCCAGTGCCGGAGAAGTGTAGTCTCTTCTCACGAAGCCTTGTCTAATAAACGTCATAGGAAATAAAAGCACTTTTAATTAATTACAGTTTCTTATTCAGGAAGGGCTGTACCTTCTTAGAACTAATTGCTTATTTGAGCCTTTTATTTTAATTTTCGTTTTTTAAAAAACTGACAAAAATTGTGTATATTTATGGTATATGACATGATGTTTTAAAACTTGTGGAACGGCTAAATCAAGCTAATTAATACATGTCTCACTTCACATAGTTGTACCATAGTAATGTGGTGAGAACATTAAAATCTATTTTCTTAGCAAGTTCCTAGTATACATTAATATGTTGTATAGCAGATCTCTTGGATTACTTAAAATTTCTTTTTGGGTGGGGCAGGACAGAGTCTCACTCTATCACCCTCAGTAGATACTCGTGGTGTCACAGCTCACAGCAACCTCCACTCTTGGGTGTAGGCGATTCTCTTGCCTCTTGAGTAGCTGGGACTACAAGTGTCCACCACAACGCCTGACTATTTTTTTTGTTGTTGTGGTTTGGCCGGGGCTGGGTTTGAACCTGCCACCCTCTGTATATGGGGCCGGCGCCTTACTCACTGAGCCACAGGCACTGCCTGAATTACTTAAAATTTCTAACAGAGAAGTCCTGTTAATGAAGCAAGGAGAATTATTTGCCCCCAAGTATGGCAGCAGTTGGTTAGAGACTCTGAGTCTCATTTGCGTGGCTCTCAGAAGTTCTGAAATTAACGGTCTAGCCCAAAGATTTTCCTTTTAGTCCTAAATTTAGGTATTCTTAGTCCTTTGGAAATCTTTTTCTGGTTAGAGGGGTCCTCTACACAACCTTTTTTTCCCTTTCTTTTGATGTTTTACAAAAAAATTGAAAGTGCATACATGTTGGATTTTTAATCTGGTCTGAACTATAAGTCTAAAAAATTGCATTAGCTAAATATCTTTTTTAAGATAAGAAAATAATCTTTTATTTGATCTTTGGCTGGAAGTCTGGCTCTCCTTTCTTTCAGTAAACATATTTTTCTCTTGTCTAAGGGAGGACTGAAGGAGGGCTTTTGTTCAGTTTGTCAGTTGAATTACTAGTTTGACTTGCTCCTGGCTTCAAGAGTGGAGACCTTGCAACCTTCACTAACACTGTACTGTCCCCTCTAGCTCTTGTTATGGAAAGCACAGAAGGACAAAATTCTTTTTTTTTTTTTTTTTTTTTGTTGAATGGTAACTATGTACATTAATGCACTTCTGGGGTACAGTGTGGGGTTTTCACACACAATCCGGAACACTTCCATCAAACTGGTTAACATAGCCTTCATGTCATTTTCTTAGTTATTGTTTTAAAACGTTCACATTCTACTCTTAGAAAGATTCACTTGTACCCTTGTAAGATAAATCTCAGAAGTGATCCCTCCAATCCCCCTCCCTCCACCCATTCTTCCCTCCCCACTCCCCATATTCTTAGGCTGTTATTAGGTTATAGCTTTCATATAAAAGGTATAAATTAGTTTCATAATAGGGGTGTGTACATTGGATACTTTTCTTCCGTTCTTGTGATACTTTGCTAAGAAATGACAAAATTCTAAAGCAAAAAAGTCCACCTATCTTGCCTTAAATTTGTAGACTGTTAGTGGGTGGCATTTTATTGCTGAGAGTCTCAAGTCTTATGACACAATGTTCTGTCCGTTGTGAGTGAAGTTAAGGCTTCAGTCTCAGGGCTTTCTTCTGTCCTGGTAGAAGCTCAAAGTGCTGGTGTGTGTATATTGCAAATCGCCTTTGTCTTCCCTGTTAGACTTGATTTATAGTTCAGCACGTAGTATAAATTACTTCCCTGCCTCCTAGAACTATTGTGCATCTATCATTGCTCCATGGTATTGTCACAATGGATGGACCCTTGTGATCTCTGACAGTCCTTTGCAGTCTAGCTGATTAGAACATTGCTAAGGGAGGCGCCTGTGGCTCAGTGAGTAGGGCGCCGGCCCCATATACCGAGGGTGGCGGGTTCAAACCCAGCCCCGGCCAAACTGCAACAAAAAATAGCCGGGCGTTGTGGTGGGTGCCTGTATTCCCAGCTACTTGGGAGGCTGAGGCAGAAGAATTGCCTAAGTCCAGGAGTTGGAGGTTGCTGGAGCGACTCCGCTGCACTCTACCAAGGGTGAAAAAGTGAGACACTGTCTCTACCAAAAAAAAAAAAAATTGCTAAATGTGAATCTTTGTGTACTTTGGAAGCTCTGGGTGCTTCATATGCCAGAAATGATACTTTTCTTACTTTGATCTCTTTCCTGACAACTGTCCCCAACCCCTCCATTATTTCTTGAAAATTTGTTGTACTCCTACACATCTGTATAGTGGGTAAATATTTTTTAACTCTCTTACAGCTGTACCCAAGAATTAAACCAAGACAAAGGACTTTGGCCTGAAACTTTACAGCATTTTAGTTAATGAAGAATTGATATCTATTATCACTAAGAAGAATACACTTGTTTTTGGCAAAAATTTTAAAAGACTTGTTTTGATGACTGTGTAGCTTCAAAGCAGCAAAGAATGTCTCTGGAAGAAAATGAAGGATTAAACATTTCACTACTAGAGGACGGTCAGCGTGAGGAAATGGAATTCACAAGGGAGCGGACCGTACTGTGTTGGGGCAAAGGTGTTCCATGTAGTGCTCAGAAAAATATACAGTGACAATCCTGTTTTCTGTAAGAAATAGGACGTTTTATTGGACTATTGGAAACCAGCTTTACGTCCTGCTTAGTGGGCACTTTCAGCACTTGCTTGTATGCCAGGAAGGACCAGTGCCATTATGGCGCCATCTCTGCTGTTCCCCTAACACCAGGAGTCCCTCGGGGCCCTGCATGAGGGCTGGGTGGTGCCATATACTTGTATATTGTCAGTGAAGAACTGTCAGTTGGTTGTCCATGAGCAATAACTTTATTGTATGAGTTCTTGTAGCATCTTAAGAATTTTACATACATTTGAAATATTGAAACTAAGCTATACTTTGAGTAGTTAGAATCTTGTTTGTAGGCTGAATTTGAATTTATATTTATTGTCTTTTGTATCTCATAATTAGAGACTTGGTATTGACTTACCCATAACATTTGTCAAGTTCATAGCTAGCTTTAAAAATAACTGAAATAAATTAAACTTTTTGACTGTAAATAATGTTTACTATTTTTCATCTTTGATTTTCATAAAGAGACCTTGTTTAAAGGTCACAAGCTGGCCGGGCTTGGTAGCAGCTCTGGAAGGCTGAGGTGGGTAGATTGCCTGAGAGTTTGAGACCAGCCTGAGCCAGGGCCAAAGTGAGAAAAAAAAAGTAGCCAGGCATGTGGCGGGAGCCTGTAGTCCCAGCTATTTGGGAGGCTGAGGCAAGAAAATTGCTTAAGCCCAAGAGTTTGAGGTTGCTGTGAGCTGTGACACCACGGCACTCTACTGCGGACAACAAAATGGGACTCTGTGAGTAAATGAATATCTTACCCAGCTGAAAATAACAAACTGCCTAATGTAAATGTATGTACTATAATACGATTTCTTTAGCAGCCAAGTGATTAAATGTAGAAGTTTTTCTTTACTTTAAAAAACTCTCTGTTTTGCATTTCAGGAGTTTGGGTAGTTTTTAAAAATTTTATTTTATCTTTTGTTAAAATGGGATCTTGATATGTTGCCGGCTTCACGTGATCCTCCTGCCTTGCCCTCCCAAAGTGTTGAGATTTCAGGCATGAGCCACTGAGCCTAGCTGCGTTTGGGTGGTTTTGGGTATAGAACTAAGTTTGTTTCTTTGAAAAAAGATCTTAGAGATCATGGTGATAGAAGCCTGCTTGGTACTTTTTACCTAGAACTTCTAATGGACTGTTTTAGTGTCCTTATTTTATTTCAAGTTCTTCTTGATTTGTGGAGTAAAAAAATCATGTGCACAAAGTCTCCACATTGTTTTATTAATATAAAATCAAGTTTATCATTTGTTTTGAAACCCATTTGCTTAGGGGAACTATTGTATTGAATAGAAGATACAAATTAAAAACTAGTGATCACTCATTTTCACAAGTAACTTATTTCTAAAAAGGAAGGTAAATGAAAGAACACACCGTACCTTTCAGAATAATGAAGAAGAAGGAACAGCCTGAACTCAATGTGAAAAGACAGATGTGTGGCAGGCAGAACTCCAGAGACGCCTCTTCCATCCTGTTCGCTGGTTATGCAGTCTAGCACTAATCTAGGTACAGTAAGTCCTCACTTAATGTTGAAATAGGGAACCAGCAAGCCCTGCTCACTAAGGAGTTCTAAGACTCAAACTAAGGTCCTTGATAAAACAGGAGGCAGTCACCTGTTAACTCAGGAGGCCGAGGCAGGTTCATGAATTTGAGACCAGCCTGAGCAAGAGCGAGACCCCATTTCTACTAAAAAATAGAAAAATTAAGGCAAGACGATTGCTTGAGTCCTAGTTGGAGGTTGCTGTGAGTTATGATGCCACAGCACTCTACCCAGGGCAACAGCTTGAGACTGTTTCAAAACAAACAAAAACATGAGGCAGTGGGGAAACTGACCAAGATGGCTATGAAAATTACCTCTGGTTACTCCACTGCTCATAATACTCTAATAACAATTCATTAGCATGCTAAGAGAAATCCCCCCAAACTGTGACAGCTTACAGATGCCGTGGATGCTCCTAGAAGTTACCTTAGAAAGCGGGCGGCACCTGGGGCTCAAAGGGGGAGGGCACAGCCCCAAATGCCAAGGCGGCGGGTTCAAACCCAGCCCTGGCCAAAAAAAAAGACTTAGAAAGAGGAGAGATCCTAAGTTTCAGTAATTCCCCACCCCTTTTCCAGAAATCTTATGAACAACCCTCCTGCTTAACATCAACAAATATAAAATAAGACTCTGTATTCTTAGAATGGGCACCCTCTGCCTTTGGAGGAGCCTGCCTTCTGCTCCTTTGTTACTTAATAAACTTGCTTTTGTTTTACTCTGTTGGCTCACTTTTTTTTTTTTTTTTTGAGACAGAGTCTCACTTTGTCGCCCTCAGTAGAGTGCTATGGCATCACGGCTCATAGCAACCTCCAACTCCTGGTCTCAAGTGGTTCTCCTGCCTCCTCCTTCCAAGTAGCTGGGACTATAGGCGTCCACCACAAAGCCTGGCTATGTTTTGGTTATAGTTGTCATTGTTGGAGGGTCTGGGCTAGATTTGAACCCGCCAGCTCAGGTGTATGTGGCTGTGCCTTAGCCGCTTGAGCCACAGGCACCAAGCCTTTATTTTTTATTTTTTTGAGACAGAGGCTCAAGCTGTCGCATTGGGTAGCATCCTAGCTCACAGCAATCTCAAACTCCTAAAGCAATTCTCTTGCCTCAGCCTCCCTAGTAGCTGGGACAACAGGTGCCTGCCACAACGCCCTCTATTTTTTAGAGACGGGTGTCTCGCTCAGGCTGGTCTTGAACTCCTGAGCTCAAGCAATCTGCCTGCCTCAGCCTCCCAAAGTGCTAAGATTACAGGTGTTGAGCTACCGTGCCCAACCTGTTCTTTTTTTTTTTTTTTTCAGTTTTTGGCGGGGGCTGGGTTTGAACCCACCACCTCCAGCATACAGGGCTAGCCCCCTACTCCCTTGAGCCACAAGCACTGCCCTTTTTTGTTTTTGTTTTTGTTTTTTTAGCAGGCCTTAGGCCAGGTTCTAATCCTCCACCCCCAATGCACAGGCCGGTGCTATACTGCCCTGCCATGAGGGACTTTTCAGATCTAATTAAGTTTAATAATCAACCTACCTTCAAATAGGTCGGTTATCTTGGATTACCCAGGTGAGACCAGTGTAATCGGAAGATGCCTTCCTTCAAAGCAGAAGAGGAAGGCAGGTGGCTGAGGCAGAGGGAAGGTCAGCAAGACTGGACGTGGGAGCTGAGAAAAACCCCAGCTGAAAGCCAGCAAGGACATGGAGTTGTTGGTCCTATAGCCAGCCACATGGAACTGAACTCTGCCTACCTGGGCCTGAATCCTCCTTGGGTCTCTAGAAGCAATGTTGTCAGCCTAATGAGACTGGTGTTGTACTTCCAGTCTACAGAATGGTACAATAATGGTTTTTGTTTGTTTGTTTTTTTGAGACAGAGTCTCACTTTGTTGCCCTTGGTAGAGTGCTGTGGTGTCACAGCTCACAGCAACTTCCAACTCTTGGGCTCAAGCGATTCTCTTGCCTCAGCCTCCCAAGTAGCTGGGACTACAGGTGCCTGCCACAATGCCCAGCTATTCTTTTGTTGCAGTTGTCATTGTTGGTTAGTAGGCCCGTGCGGGGTTCAAACCCACCAGCTCCAGTGTATGTGGTTGGTGCCCGTAACCACTGTGCTATAGGTGCCAAACCAATAATGGATATTTTTTAAGCCACTAAATTTGTGTTACTATGTTACAACAGCAACAGGAAACATACTTCATGGATTCTAGTCCAGAACTGTGGGGTTTAATCCATCCTGTGACCTTTCCTAGGAGCCTTGTTTTCCTAATCTGTGGAGTTTCATACCATCTCCACCACATGCTTCAGTTGTTGAGGAAGACCATACTAAGTACTACCCGTGGAGGTACTTGGTAAATAGAGAATTACACAAATGTGTGAAAAAGGAGATGTGAAAATTAGAGAACTGTGATAGTCTCAGTTTCATATTCCTTAATCTCAGGATGCCATTTTTTATTCTCCCTATGTGTCATTTTACTAGTTTTATTTATTATTAAAGTTTCCTGGCTTGGTGTCTGTGGCTCAAGCGGCTAAGGCGCCAGCCACATACACCTAAGGTGGTAGGTTCGAATCCAGCCCAGGCCCGCCAAACAACAATGATGGCTGCAACCAAAAAATAGCCAGGCATTGTGGT